TGATTTTTATTTTAAAATACTGTCCTTTCCCTTTGGAAAATCTCAGTACTAGACTAGTAATGAAAGTTATACCTCTGCAACTAATGATCTATTTTGGGCTACTGGCAAAACCTTGAGAAACTGGAGAAATTGGTGCAAAAATGGCCAGAGAAATAGGCATCAATATTATTGATGAGAAAGTTTATATTTTCTCCCCCCTGCAGTATTGCATAATCAGAAAAAAACCAAAACATATCTCTCCCTTCTGGAATGACTGAGAAGTCCCAGTTGCAAGTAAAATATGATAAAAAGGTTTCCATAAAATTAAATTTTATTTCTTAATAAACATAATACATTCAAAACCAGACATTTTTTTGCAAGCCTTGCCTGGTAAACTTGAGGTTAAAAGAGTTGACACTCCATTACTATCTTCCTGTTTCTTTTGCTGCTAAATGCAGTAGCTTGCTGATGGAATGCCAAGATTTGCACTTAAAAAGAAGCCTTGCTAAGTTTTGTACTGAGAAAAACAGTCTTGTACTGATAAAATGCTATACTTTCAATTTGGGAAAAAAAGCGCCTAGAAAATACTTGCTACTCCACACCACTCTGAAATGTACTTTATAACAAAACTATCAAAAGTACAGAATTCTTCCAGCTGGCAAAAATCTCAGTAAACACATCTCTTTGACAAAGTTCTCCTTTCAGACTCTGACATGCATGGGGGAGGGAATCCACAGAAAGGAAATTTGTGATTCTGTGGTGGAAGAAAAGCCATGAAAGGGGAAGGGTGAACTAAGGTGACTTGCCTGGATAGCTTGTAACAAATGTCTCCTCAGTGTCACCTTTACAGTGAGAATTACAGTGAGATGTTAATGGTCATCTTGGACACAAAAAAAAGGGACATAAATAAATATGGAAAAGACTCCCCATTTTGGAGATTATTATGGAAAAAAAAGTCTATGAATTCTAGTGCGTCATAACCATTATGTCCTAGTAGTACACACAAGCTGCTTCTCAAAAAAATCCCTTCCAACCCAAACCATTTTATGATGCTATGCAAATAATACGTGTCAACAAGTGTTTAACACATGCCTTCACTGTACTTGCTGCTGCCTGACTGTGCCCAGGACTCAGTCCAAAACCCATGAAAGCAGAGTTTGCTGGTCCATTCCATGAGTTCCTCAATCTGCCTTGTGAGGCTCAGAAATTATTGATTCTGTTAGTACTTCATCACGAAAAATCTCCTCTATTCCCAGTATACATCTTAATAGTTATTACTGTATTCCACAAAATGGAATACAAAAATAGAATTCCATGAAAAAAATCCTGAACAGCTCCTTAGTGTATGGCTAAGTGGTATTTTTAGGAGTCTGCACTGGTCCTCTGCTTCCTTGCAAGACTCTCATGCAATTTTTTAATGGGTCTTGCTATTAGAACCTTTTTCCACCAGCCCATTAGCAGTAGTTTCAGAGCAAAGCATGCCAATACATCTAATGGATCTGTGAGACTGCATAATGAATGGTTAGTTCTCTGAATCCAAAGGTTACAGGACTATAAAGGACTATACATCCTGGATGTAGATTAGTGTTTTGATAAAAGACTAAAACTAAAAACCATGATCCCACATCAGAAGGGGGACATACATTCATAGAGCAGCAAAGCTAGGAGATTAAATCAACCCAGAAGAGACATAAATAGGTAAACTCATCTGTTTAGAATGGTCAGATGTTAATATTGATACTTGGGGAAGCACAAACCACAAGTGATTATCCTCACATTAGCTCTACATTTCAAAATCTTCCTACACAAATGTAAGAGTCGGACAAACTAGAATTTCAGGCAGAGCACAGAAAACATAATATCTGGTCATTTCCTATGTAGTAAGAATCGTCATGTGATGATGCAGGGGTTTGTTATTAGTTAGCTGACAAGCTTAGGGTAAAATAATCCCTGTCAGAGACTTCAGTCAAAAGGCTTTTAACTGGAGAGTGACTATGTTACAAGGCACAATGTTAAAATCCTTTTCTAATTTTTCATCATCCTTTTTAATCCCTAGAAAATTATCAGCTCCTGCGAATAAACGTGTCCCAATCTATTGTTCAAACTCAGCTCACACTCTCTGTTCAGCGATAAGTTATACCTATGCTGTGTATCGCTTTCAAAAGCACAGAAACAAAGAACAGCTTTACATGAATTTCAGCTCAGCCTCTTTCTTTTTCCTTGAGCTGCATCTCCTAGAGCTGTTCAACATAAATCCATCCTTCCCTAGAGGTCCTATTCTCACTTTCCCTGTAGTAAGGCAAGGAAGCAGTCTTAGGCTCTCATAGGTCATATCCTTCCTTCTAGACATAATTTCAAACAACAATCAACAAAGGCTAAAAAAGGCCAATGTAATGTTGCTGTAAAGCCTCATTTTTCTTTCAGAAGGATTTAAACTGATGAGGATAATGGAAAAGCCATGGCCATGCTGTTCCCATCCTTTACTCCCCTCAGGATCATTTTGCAAAAATCGAAGAGGTCCTGCTAAATTTTGGCTTTCAGAAAAAGGGCCTAGACAAAAGCACCAGACTCGGCATACCATATATTTTATATAATTGTAGGAGGTGTTTGTGCCCAGGCACTGGCAGAAGGGACTGCCAGACAGCCTCTGCAAATTCCAATCTGCCAATTCCAGCATATCCCAACACATCCACTGCAGGGCATGGCTAAGCCCTGCAGCCAAGGTGCTGGTGCCTCTGGGAAAGTGTATTTAAGAAAGGTACAAGCAGTGGAGAATGAGGGGGAAAAAGTGAGAAACAACCTTGTGAGCAGGAAGGCCAGAGAAGAAGGACAGGAAGATGTACTCCTGGCACTAGAGCAAAGATTCCCCTGCAGCCCACGGTGGCCTGGGGAGGACCACACAGCAGGATGTGTCCTAAAGGAACAGCATCCCATGGAAAATCCACTTAGTAGCTTTTTTTTTTTCCCTTAAGGAATTGAATCCCATAGGATGGACTCATTTTGGAGGAAGTTAAATGTATGAGGAGGAAGGAGCAGTTAAGAGGAATAGATGTGGACTGATCACAAACCTGTATTCCTATCCCCCTGCACTGCTCAGGGGTGGGTAGGAGGTGTAGGAGTTGGGAATGAAGGAGGAAGCTGGGCCAGGGAAGAAGAGGGGGAAAATTTATTTTAATATTTGTGTTCGCTTCTCCCTATATAAATCTATTTTAAATGGCAATAAATTACATTATTTTGCCCCAAGATGTACCTGTTTAACCTATGAAAGTAACTGATAAGTGACCTTCCTGTCCTTACTTCAACCCAACTTTCGTCTTATTTTTTTCCCATATTTTCTTGAGGAGAGATAGTGAGAGATTGGCTGGGTGGGTCTGACAGCCAGACAAGGTTAACCCACCACTCTAACTAAAACCAGAATTAAACCATCCATCTTCCCAAAACCAAGAGATAGTGTGACAAATTTCCTTTTCTTCAAGATACAGTGTTACAGTAAAGCTAAGCAGGATGTTCACTCCATTTTCCTTTTCTCGACAACGAATGTGAAAACATTTATGTTGTAACTGTAGTGTTACACTCACACATCAGTTTTTACACTCACAAAGGCAGCAAAGTTATGTGCTATTAGTGGACCTCTGAATCATGTTCTACCATGTCTTCATTCTGAATTTAATGATTTGTTTCATAGTAGGAAGAGATGAGCTATGGAAGTGGTTTTAAAGGGCTGAAATTCACTTTCTGCTTTTTTTTACTTTGATTGTGTGTATATAAATGTATACATATACATATATATAATATATATTTTCCTATTTATAGGGATGGGGATTTTATAATTTTTTTTTTTGTGACACTATCTAGCCAAGAAAACAAAACACAAATAATTGAAAGATGTGCAGAAAAGGAAAGTCAGACAAAAATTTACAGTAATTGTAACACATTGTGGAATCTACAGCATGCCAGTATGTTCAGAATACTTTTGCCTGGTAACTGACTTCCCCTCCTTTTCTCTTGTGTGCCATGGTGCTGCATGGTTAACATTTTTTCAGTTTTAGAACATCTGTGAGTTCTAGAGCTACATTCAGGATCAAAGGTTCGCAATTAACAACCCCTAAGTAGGGTTGTTAGGTTTTGCAAGAACCATATGGAAGAGTAGCTCTGGAAAGAGATTGATCACTCCTCCCAGGAGGAAACAACTAGATCAAGAACAAAGGAGGCTATATGAACTTCTCAGCCCTATCTCCCAAGGAAGAAAAGGATACCTCATAACAATGCAGCATATCTCTACTTTTCCTAATTTTAAACACATAAAAATATAATGAAATATACAAGAACACATTTTATAGTAATTTCTCTTTTTTTTCTTTTTTTTTCTTTTTTTTTTTTTTTTTTTTCTTTTTTTTTTTTTTTTAATGTGGGAAATATATGAAGTCTGTGGCTGCATAGGGAAACCCTCTATTGCTGCTTCCTCCCCAAGGTATTTTAGGAGTCCCCTGAAGAAGGCATGACTGTTCATCCCTATGTAGCCAGCAGACATAAACTAGTTTTCTAATAAGACTCTTATTGATTACACAATTAAAGTTCTAGTCCCTTCTTTTTTCAATCCTCTAATCCTATGTCCTCCACATTCACACAAATACAAATACAAAAAATCTGCAGCATGTTATCCTCTATGCAGACACAGGGATAGAATTAAAGGGTAATTTTGTCTGTCTTCGGCGTTCCAAAAGCTTGGCCTAAGTTCTGAGCAAAAAAACTTCTCAATATGTACTGATTCACCAAGTATGAGACATATTAAAATCCTGCTTTTAATTTTTCAGTGAGCTTTTACTGTCAAGAAGAGAAATATTGTCACTTTGTCACAGAGTGCAAGAGACCATGACCTCTCCATTCAAAAAAAATTTCTGAGGTTGCAGTTCAGTGTTATTGAAATTCTATTTATTGTGATGTCTGATTATTTTAAGAAGACGTATATATGCAATTTAATACCTGATATTATTTTCTCTCTTTCTCTTCCTCTTTTTTTCTCAGAGCAAATTATGACATCTACATCTAAAGGAATTTTCCGGCCATTTTTTATTATCTTCATTATCCTTGGTTGTTTCATGGCATTTATATTAATTTATATAAAACCAACAAATAGCTGGATTTCTGGTCCTATAGAATCAGCCAGTTCAGTGTTGAAAATGAAGAACTTCTTTTCTTCCAAAACTGATAATCTCAATGAAACTACTGTTTTGATCTGGGTTTGGCCATTTGGTCAGACATTTGATCTAACATCCTGCCAAACAATGTTCAACATCCCCGGGTGCCATCTGACTATTGACCGCTCGCTCTATAACAGATCCCACGCTGTCCTCATCCATCACAGGGACATTAGCTGGGATCTGGCTAACTTACCTCAGCAAGCCAGGCCACCATTCCAGAAATGGATTTGGATGAACTTGGAGTCTCCAACTCATACTCCACAAAAGAGTGGCATTGAACACCTTTTTAACCTGACCCTGACTTACCGGCGTGATTCAGATATCCAGGTGCCTTATGGCTTCATGATGGTTGGCACAGGTTCCTTCACGTTTGAAGTGCCAAGTAAGGAAAACTTGGTGTGTTGGGTTGTGAGTAACTGGAACCCTGAGCACGCTCGAGTCAAGTATTACAACGAGCTTAGCAAATACATTGAAATCCACACCTACGGACAAGCCTTCGGAGACTACGTCAATGACAAAAACTTGATTCCAACTATCTCCACATGCAAATTCTACCTTTCCTTTGAAAATTCAATCCACAAAGATTACATTACTGAGAAACTCTACAATGCTCTTCTGGCTGGATCAGTACCAGTTGTACTGGGCCCTTCCAGAGAAAATTATGAGAATTACATTCCAGCAGACTCTTTCATACATGTGGAAGATTTTCTCTCCCCCAGAGAGCTGGCAGAGTATCTTCTGATGCTTGACAAAAATAACAAGATGTATCTTAGTTATTTCAACTGGAAGAAGGATTTTTCCGTGCATCTTCCTAGGTTCTGGGAATCACACGCATGTCTTGCTTGTGATCACGTGAAAAGACACCAGGAATACAAGTCCATTGGAAATTTAGAAAAATGGTTTTGGAATTAATTTTTTTGGCGGGGGGGGGTGTGGGTGTGTGTGTGCATTTTTTTTAAGAAGCCAGAAAGGACTTCAGTCCAAGTGGAGAGGAAAGAAAAGAGGAAAAAAAAGGAAGAAAAGAGAATCTCTCATCATGGTTTATCAGTTATTCTCTTTTGGCTATCCTATTTATATTTTGTAAGAGACTTTAAAAGATCAGCAGCAGCAGTCATCAGTACTCAGTTTCAAATTATAATAGAGATACTAATTATGTGCACTGAAGAGTTTTTGATTGCTTATTATAAATTTAAAACAAAATTTTCCACATTTTCTGTGAAACATGTCCCAATCTTACACTTGTAGTAATTTTTAACTTTTTTTATTTTTAACATTATCTTTGTTGTTTAACCTATTTGGAAAATGACGAAACAATTTTTAAATGCCAGAGAAAATTTTAAGAACATAATTTATTGTTCCAGACAGAAATGTGTGTAATACTTCAAAAGACAGTAAAGTTTCATATGTTCACCTTGCATTTAAGAGCACAGTAGAGTATAATATCTAACATTATGGAAGTGTGATTAATTACTCCCTTTTTAAGGGTAATGAATCTAGAACTATAGTTTTTTAAATGTATTAGAAAGTGGATAGTCTTTGTTTCTAAAAAGGTTTCCTAACAAATGGTCCCATTATGTTCCTTTAGGAGTATTACCCTCTGAAGAAAAGAGAAGTCAGATTTCAAAAAAATTACCATTCCTGGTGACCCAGATTCATCCAATTTTTGAGTGTATTCAAATGCAGCACACCCTTAGCTTTCGATATGTCTCGAGTTTTTTTGATCTGAACCAGGGCTTTAAGTAGTATTACACTGAGATAAACAGATTTTAAAAAGGTGTTTGATGACATCAGCCTTATGCACTGAATTTGGCTGGTAATAATGGATTTTTAGAAGCTGTTTGCTGAGAAATTTTAGAAAGCTCTCTCATATAATTTCTTGAATAATAGTGACTTTTCCCCCAATTCTGTAAGATCTGTTGAATTTTAACTGTAGCTGGACAACTTGATGTTATGACACATTAGTGTGGGGAAAAATTACTAAGCAGTCAATTTTCTGAGAGAAATATGCTGAAATTCAGTAAATAAGCTATCAGGCTGCTATACAACCTTTCAACTTACCAAGGTAATGAATTTGGGGGGTTGAAAATATTTTGTATGAGAGATATGAAAAATGCACTCTTCAGAGCAACAACTGCTATCAATATTTGATAATATAAGTAGGTTTTTAAGATTACATTTGCTCTAATAGCAAACACAAAATTACGATTATTGTCATAACTGTTTAAAATGTCTTCTTCAAACATGTATCATTTGATTTTACTACTTCTTTCTATCAGCTAAGACAAATTTCTGATTGCCATATATATTCATATGTACAAGGTTGGTTTAATGACATAAATGTATGAGTATGTTTTGGTATCAAATGAAAGCAAATCAGCTTGGATTTTCAGGTCAAAGTGCTGCAAATCACACCTGCTACTGGAAAAAAAAAGAAAAAAGTTAAACTAGAAACACTGCTGCTTATGAGATGTATAAGACCCTGATCAAGCAAAGTAGTCAATCAAGTAACTGAGATTAAATTTGCAGACAAAAAAGTTGCTGCAGTAAGGAAATGAGAGATAAATTATAAATATTTAGTAAAAGACAGTGGGACTAATTACAGGCTGGAATAGAAACACAAAAGGCTATAAGAGTAATTAGTTAAATTTACAGAACTCAAAACCCCATGGAAAAGTTATAGAATTATTTCTGTTCTGCCTATGGTTTCAAAAGCTGTATACTGATCTAGCTAGCTTTCAATATACTGTGAATCATCTAAACTCACCAGCATTCTAGTATGCAGCAAGATAAGCTTACCTTCAAAATTAATGCAATACAGAGAAACTGAGTCTTCTAAAAACAAACTTCTGAAGTGCATGTAATATGAGTAGTATTTTATCATTTTAAAGGCAAGTTGCTATAGCTTATAGTCTGTCCTACAGGACATCATAACATTTTTTTCTCAGGAGGACTGTGAAATTCTCAGTGACTGAATATACCACTGGTTTGGCTCAATAACCTGATTCCCTCAGTGCTGGAATTTGGAAGTCCTTTGCACTGACCTCAGTGAAAGGTGAATGTGTAACACCATTCCTCACTTCAGATTGTGTTGAAAGACCTTAGGTGGATTCAGACTGGTTTCTTGACAGCAAGTTCAGCTAAGGGATTATAGTAATAACAAGCAAGCATACATAAGATACATGAAGTGTTAATACAAATATTGGTCAGTGTATACACAGGAAAGTTTTGAAATATACACTGAATTTTAATCCTGTAAGTAATGTCTTTACCTCTGTAATCACAGGATCCAGTCAGCATGGCTAATCTTAGGCTGAATTTTAAGAAATGTAAAAGTCTTTTGATGGAACAGGAAAGAGTGTTGTTCTCTTCACATGAAGAGAAGCTCCACAGAAGGCTTGCGTACATTTCATTCAGGAAACATTGCTAAAATTGCTTCAAAGATCAATAAAACATGAGAGAAATCTAATCCAGAATTATGCATAAAAATCATTACCAAATCCTAAAAAATATACGTGACCCTAGTGCCTCGCTGGCATTCTGGAAGAGTAAGTGCTGGAACAAAATTGAGCCAATTTTTTTATGAAGACTTTAAGGTGATCTGCAAGTATCAGATGTTAAGCAGTTCTGGATAGAAATATCTTTGTTGACAGAAGATGAAGCATTTTTGGGCATGTTCAGCCTATGTAGTAAACGATGTGAAACAATGGATACAAAACACCTGTGCTCCATGCATGCATAAAGGCTGCCTACCTAGACCTAGATACTTAACCCACCTAAGGCTGCTTCCAGTCTGTATCTGACATTCAGCTTTGTGAGGTCTGTGCTTGTTTTGTGATCTACTCTACATGAGCAGCAAGCATAGACACTCAAATAACAAATCACTGTGAAAGAAAATGAGCAAACTTAAGTAACTGTGGAAGGGACTAGACAAAATAGGTATTGTGCTTTGGTACCACTGGCAAAAGAAAAGTGAACTAGAAGTTGGGAAATCACACCAGTTCTAATTGTTCTCTCAAGAAATTTCTTTCAGACATTCCATTTCTTTTGTTTGCTAGCCCACAACAATCTTGAGTTGCACTCGTCCCAAGTTAACTAAGCAGTCAGTGAAGACAGAGGTTAATCACCATTCTTTGTTTTACAGTGGCTTACTATGAATGTTTTTAGGCTCTCTTCATGCACTGAGTACTGCTTTTCTCAGAGTGGAAAGTAAGACCCAAACCAGATAAAATAGCAACTGCACATGCATTGCTACCCCACTGAATGTGAAAAGGTGTAAGGCAAAACTGGCAGCAGATCCTTCTAAAGCAGTTTTCCTTTCATTTCATAGGCAATGTCCACAGCAGATCTTCCTTAGTATGAGATTCCCATTCCTTAGTGAATCCTGTTGCCAGTTTCTTTGAATGTCTCATTCCATATGTCTATACCACAGTGAGCAAGCAGCCTGAGTGAGGCCCACTGAAAGTGTGAGACATCCAGCAACATACTAGTCTTTTAAGAAACAGATCAAATAAAATGAAAGTTGGACTGAGAGAACATAAATGTGGGGCTTTGTAGAGTTCATGCAGGCTGAGCAAGGCATGGGAAATGGACACCACTGAATAATAAAGAACTACTTGCTCTCTCTGGACACTCATGGTTTTTTTTCTCAAAATAGGCTTTAAAAAACACATCATTTTCTCCCATGTCTAAACAAGCAGTTAAGTAACCAATAACTGCTCCTTTTTATTCAAGAATGGGACTTCTGTTAGCCTTGTATTATCTTTTTTATTAGATGCAGAATAACATTCAGGAGAACAGAGAAGTCTGTCAGTGAGATAATTCTATTTCTTATCTAAATTCAATGATCTTTATACTTATTTTCTTATTTGATTTATAAGTCCTCATGCAGCAACACTTTCTGGACACGATACAAAAAGACCTTAAAAGTATGCAGATGACCATGAGACTTAAGCATGTTCTTAATTTTAGGAGCATCTTAAATGCTTTAATGCACTGGGGCTCCAGAGAATATCTTTTCATTGCCTTTAGGAATTGTGCCAAAAAGTGCAATCTATAGACATCAGATACCAACTCGTGCAGCCTCTTTTGCATCATGTCTGTAGTGAGAAAAGACTGGCTGAGTACTAAGGGAGTAGTCCACACTAAAAACCTTGGGTTCATTCTGATTTGGTGTCTAACCAATACATCTTGGCCCAACTCTTGTGCTCCTCCACCACCACAGGCCATCCCCTGAGCACAGCACCTCAACTTGCAGCCTGCCCGTGCTATGCAGAGTTGCTGAACTCCCGTGTGACATAAAGAAGCCAGAGTGGCTGAGGATGCTGAGACAGTATTTTGAGGCCTGTCCGAGGATGAATGCATAACACCTGGCCATGTCCTAAAATCTGGACTTGCTGTGCCCTACAGAGTCAGTCTCAGCCATACCTGATTTTCCTTTGAGGAAAATATTTGGCTCATTCTAGGTGAGACTGTGAGTAATCACTGTGTACGCGAAGTGGAAACAAGAGGTGTCTCTGTGTAGGCTGACAAGGAAGCTTCTGACCTATTTAAACCTAGTAATGAAAATTTAACAAATACTCAAGTGTTTCCTTGGTCAAAACTAGCATGTTATTGAGAATAGAGTCCAGGGGAAGTATTTGTATACCTACCTACCAGCTGGTGGGCTTTTTCATTAATTTTGGCTGACGGTTCTGTTTTAGCTTTTTTGTTTGTTTTTAATAAAAGTGATTTGAAAATGTTAGAAATCAGTCAATACGATTCATACAAAAGAGTTATTTCACCTTTATCTTTTGCTTCTTGCTTAGGCAAATATACCAGAATTAGCAGGTGATTTGGGAGATTCCTATGCTGGTAACAAAGGATTGAGCCAAGGGTGAAATGACTTGGGTAGAAAAACCCTGTCTTATTCGTGG